TGGTGCCACTGTTGCCCCCATTCACTGCCAACATGTAAGTTTGCATGTCCTGAAGCCAGCTCCATCCTGGACCCAGGGGCTGTGTGGGGACCTCAGCCCACTCCTGGCGCCGGCGGCAGGGGGCTTAGGGAGGTGTAAATACACAGCAGAGCAGGGTCCCCTGGATCCTGGGAACGGTGATGAATCCCAGGAGGAACCATGGGGGTAAAAATGGTCACGGGGAGGGCGGCTGGACGGAGGTCCAGACAGTGGCTTCAGAAGTTCATTCTGGAGACACCACTGGTCCTGCAGGTAGTGCAAGCTAAATGGATGCTCCCGGAAGCAACAGACACCATAGTGCATGGACCCATCTCAGCCTATACTTTAATTGGTCCTTGCCATGGATGGGGCAGGTGCTGGGTCATCGCCCTCAAGGGAAGACAGGAACTGGGATGTACCACTTGGTGCCTAGCCCCCATCCTAACAACAGATATGGCCATGCATGAATTGCAATATATTTTGCACTAAAATAATCTTATCTGTTAAAGCAGTTTTTCCGTGAATTTTGAAGTGTCCTCCCACTCACCTGGGAAGCCACCAATGGGATCGGCACATTGAACCTATCCTGGCCCGTTTCCCCTCTGAGACAGAGTAGGAAAATGTGAGATTGTTCAACAATGGCATATGGCAGGCTACACTTAGAAAATGCCAAGCCAGTTTCATTTCTGCAGGTTTACACTTGATGCTGCTCCCAAGCCCCAGCTGCTGCCATTCTACCCTCCACCCAGAGTCCCAGGGTTTGGCATCTCTGGCTGTCATAGAGACCAGCCCAGCTTCTCCTGTGCCCTCTTCCCCCAGAACTGCAGCTGGCTCTTCCACAAGAGGCAACATTAGGAAATGACTCTGGGGAACCCAACAGCCAGACTCTGGTAAGATGTATTTATTTAAACTCATCACTATAGAGAGGGAGACAGATCTTCCAGCTGGTGATTCACTATCGAAATGGCTACAGTGACCAGGACTGAGAGGCCAAACCAGGAGCTTCATCTGGGTCTCCCACATGGATGGCAGGGCCCACACATTTGAGCCATCCTCTGCTGCGTTTCCAGACTCATCAGCCAGGATCTGGGTTGGAAGGGGAGCAGCCAGGATATGAACTGGCACCCAGACAGGATGCTGGCCTCACAGGTAGCAGCTACTCCATCGTGCCAGCCCCCGTTTTGATGACTGTGATATAAGATGGCACCTCTGGATGCAGTGGAGGCCTTTGTGAGGCAGAAAGGCAAAAATGAAAGGGAGTGGACGTTGCCCTTTCCAGGCTGTTAGTCCCACGAACCTGAAGAAACCAGCCTTGTGTGGAAATGATACAAAACTCAGAAGTGCAATAATACTGGGAGATGTTCACGGCCCTAACCCAACTCCTTCAAGGAGCCCATCTGAAGATAGCATTTCACTCCATATTGAAATGTCAGAGATGGAGGCCTAGGGAAGATCTTCCTCAGAGGCCCATGGACAACACCTTGATTCCAGCCCTGGAAGCACATAAGCAGAGAAGTCGGCCACACTGTGCTGGAGTTCTGACCCATGAGCTAAGAGATGAAAAATGGGTACATTCTACACAGCCTTAGACCACCTGCTCGGGTGGAGCCTCGGATTTTGTGTCATGATTAGAAAGATTTATCTCTATCCCAAGACGTTTTTTCTCAAGGTCCTTGTTTTGTCCTTGTTTTCAGGCCAGAGCACCCCTTTTCCTCTCCATTTTCAGCTGGGCCCCTCTGGAAGTGAGCAGACAGCTGCCAGGTGCCCTTCCTGTGTCTAAGTCCAGCGGGAAAGATAAGGTCTGTGTCCTGGGTATGTTACCAAAGGCCTGTGAGGTGGCTTGGTTTGTCTGCCAGGTCACCTTCACAATGGGGGGTGTTGCCAGGCAGCAGGGGAGGTGGTACAGCCTGAGCAACATGTGCCCCCTGGAACCGGAGGTCTGGTCAAGAACTAATCTATGGGAACGGGTCAGTGAGAACTGGCACAACAGCCGTAGCACCCTGATACCCACAGCCACCTAGGAAATAAAATATAAAGATCAAATTGCCAGGGGATCAGGGAGAATCCTGGGATGTGAACAGTTACTCCGAGGACCTCCTTCCTCAGCCGGATGTTGGTTTCCAAAGCTAGATGGCCTTTTCCAGCTGGAAATGAGGCAGGACCTTGAGCAGTGGATCCCAGACTCCACCGAGTGTGCCGAAGCAAGATAGCAGCCCTGTGGAGGACCCATCCGTCCTTACTCTTTCTGAATTCCTCTCTAATTCTCCACAGAAAAGTGATTGCTCAGTCTTGCCCTGAACATTCAGTAGACACCAGGTTTGCTGAATTCACAATATTGGTTAAGGAAGGGCATTAATAAATAGGTGGTAAAAAGGATGATGGGTGAGGGAATTGCTGGTGAGCATAAATGCTGACAAACAAAAACGGATAATGGGGCAGAGACTAGAATGAGGATGGAGAAATTTTAGCACAGAGAAGACAGCCAGACTTCAAACGTGAGCCGAAGCCCCAGTAATGGCTTGGATATTGGTTTGGACAACAGGCCCATGGTTACTGGTGTCATCTTCAGAGTGGCATTCTCAGGAGGTAGTGGGACCCGTAGGTGACACAGGGCTTAGAAGCAGGCCTTTAGGTCACAGCAGGGAGCTTCCCTTGGAACCCCGGGACATCTGTCTCTGGCTCTCTTTCCATATATAAAATTCCTCCATATACATGGGCTTCTGTCATTAGGTGTTACCATCAGCTGCCCTTGCCAGAGGAATACCTAGTCATGGACTCTGGACTTCTAAAACCGAACTACAGTCTGTGTAAGGCTACTGTCTTAGGTGTCCTGTCCTGGTGGTACAAGGCTGACTTGCACCCAGAGGAGTGAGACCACCTGAGACGACAGCAGTAGTCCAGTCAGTGGGAACAGCAAGTGCAAAGGCAGCGCATGACACAACAGTTAGCTCTCAGGTACACCGTGCCCTCAGTAATTGGTGGATCCAGGCTGGGTTCTGCTGTATGTCTGGGTTAACCAAGGGGTCTGTTCTTCTTGGCTCTTTCTCAGTTCTGGGGACCAGCCAGCAACTCTGTACAAAGCAGCATCCCAACCCCATGACAGACCATTTGCTACTGGCATTAGGTCCTCACTCTGAATGCTAGCCCTCCACCATGGTCCACAGGGATGGCCAGCGGGAGCAGAGGTTACAGTCAGGTCCCTCCCCCTTAGACTGCGTTAGCTCCCCATTGTTGCTCCAACAACTTAAACCAAGCACCTGTCTCACAGTTCTGGTCTTGGTGAGTCATAGGCAGCAGTGTTTTTAATGGAAGCTCTAGGAAGGAACCCATCCCTTGCGTTTTCCAGCGCTGGATGCTACCCATATGCCCTTCAAAGTTAGCAGTAGATGGTCACATTCACATACCACTTAACTCTGACCCACCCCCTCCCACCTCTCTTCCCATTTTAAGGTCTCTTTGAATCATTTTGAGTTAATGTCAAATGACAGGCAGCCTTAATTTCTTTCTTTCTTTCTTTTTTTACTTTAAAAGATTTTTTTTTTTGGAAAGTCATTTATACAGAGAGGACAGAGAGAAGATCTTCCATCCATTGATTCACTCCACAAGTGGCCAAAATGGCCAGAGTTGAGTCGATCTGAAGCCAGGAGCCTCTTCTGGATCTCCCATGCAGGTGCAAGGCTTGGAGACATCATCAACTGCTTTCCCAGGCCACAAGCAGGGAGCTGGATGGGAAGTGGGGCCACCAGGACACAAACTGGAGCCCATATGGGATCCCGGCATGTGCAAGACAAGGACTTTAGCCACTAGGTTACCATGGTTGGCCCCCTTCTTTTTCTTTTCCTTTTTTTTTTTTTTTTAATCTCACTGATGCAAACCATAATATGGGAAAAGTGCTTCTGCTTCCTCCTAAAATCAGTCCAGTGCTGGGGTGTGGGACAGCATGCCCTTAGGCCATGGCTGTGTGGAGAGGGCTGGTGCCAGGGCCTAAAGGCAATGCTGCCAACAACAAGGAGGAGGGAACACATGTTTCTTGTTCCTTCCAAATGCCCGTTTGCCTCTTGCTGTGGCCCTCAGGTGTGTTGGTGATGGGTATACTGAATCATCAGCTCTTAGAAGATCCCTGTTAGGTGAAACCAGCTAGACTTAAGTAACTTTCCTGGATCCCAGGTCCTCTTGGTGGTGGACACTACAGCTCTTTCTGGGTTGGGAGCACTGATGGGTTTCTTCTCAGCTAGGGTGAGGTGGCCGATGGAAATATGCAACCAAGAAGAAATCGAGTCTCAGCCATGAGAGGGCTGGCTTGTGGTCCTTATGTGGCACTTCTCTGTCATCATCTTTCACCATGGAAGCCATGCTGCTTCTTACACTGTACCAGCATCCCCTCTCCAAACTCATTCTTTGTTGTTCCCTGTCAAACTATCCATACCCAGTATACCAACTCCTTTGTCTGTTCCTTCCCTAGTTTATAGACCGTATCCTTAAATTGGCAAAGTCAAAAGTATCAATTTTATTCTTCCATCCCCTTTCCCATCACAAAAGCTTTTATCTTCGGTTGGGCATTAAAGGGGCATGTCCTTATTTTGTTTCTCTCAGACTTGGAAAATAGATCCAAAACCAGTCACCTCCAAAGTAAAGTGCCTTTGAGGAAATACACAGCAATCACCCCAGCAGAAAGTTTTTAGAGGGACAGTCCATGGCACCCCTGGAGTGAAGATACAGAGGGCCACTGGGGCTGGAGCTGTGAGCACCTGCAGAACTGTGTGCTGCTGTCAACACCCACACAGAAGCAGTGGAGGGCAGAAGGTGGGTCTGAACCCCCATTTCCCAACTCGGCCAATGACTCCAGAAAGATGAGGTCCCCGTACATGGGGAACACACAGGAAAAGAGAGAAACCCCTCTCAAAGTCAAATGCTCCACAGAAAACCTATGCAAAACAGAAACCCTACAAATGTCAGCAATGTGAAAAGGCCTTTTGTCACAGCTCAGCACTCCTTGAACATCAGCGGACGCACACAGGAGAGAGGCCCTACAAATGCCATGACTGTGGGAAAGGGTTCCGCAACAGCTCGGCACTCACCAAACACCAGAGGATCCACACCGGGGAGAAACCCTATCAATGCCCTCAGTGTGGCAGGGCGTTCAACCAGATCGCACCACTAATCCAGCACCAGAGAACTCACACCGGGGAGAAGCCCTATGAATGCAGTGAATGCGGGAAATCCTTCAGCTTCAGGTCTTCCTTCAGCCAGCACGAGCGGACTCACACTGGTGAGAAGCCCTATCAGTGTGGAGAATGTGGCAAGGCCTTCAGCCACAGTTCATCACTGACCAAGCACCAGCGCATCCACACGGGGGAGAAGCCCTACGCGTGCCATGAGTGTGGAAAAGCCTTCACGCAAATCACCCAATGATCCAGCACCAGAGGACCCACACGGGAGATAAGCGTTACGAGTGCAGCGAGTGTGGGAAAGCCTTCAGCCAGAGCACTCTGCTGATAGAGCACTGCAGGATTCACACTGGCAAGAAGCCCTACGGGTGCAACGAGTGTGGAAAAACCTTCAGTCACAGTTCCTCCCTGAGCCAGCATGAGCGGACACACACTGGGGAAAAGCCCTACGAGTGCCGCCAGTGTGGCAAGGCCTTTCGGCAGAGCACACACCTAACACAGCACCAGAAAATCCACACGGGGGAGAAGCCCTACATATGCAGCGACCGTGGCAAGGCCTTCAGCCACAGCTCCTCCCTGACTAAACACCAGCACATCCACACAGGGAAGAAGCCCTATGCATGCCTGGTGTGTGGTTGGGCCTTCAGCCAGCTGGCTCCCCTCATTCAGCACCAGAGAATCCACAGAGGAGAGAAACCCTATGAATGTGCTGAGTGTGGTCAGGCCTTCAGCCAGAGCTCCCTTCTCATCAAACACCAGCGGATTCACACCAAGGAAAGGCTCTACGGGTGCAAGGAATGTGGGAAATCCTTCAGTCACAGCTCGTCATTGAGCCAGCATGAGTGCACACACACAGGGGAGAAGCCCTGTGCATGTCAGCACTGCGGCAGAGTACCCACCTGACGCAGCACCGGAGGATCCACACAGGAAAGAGGCCCTACAAGTGCAAGGACTGTGGCAAGGCCTTTACCCACAGCTCTTCCCTGACCAAGCACCAGAGAATTCATACTGGGTAGATGGGTAGACCCCTCCACATGTGCTGGGGACACTGGAAAGCCTTAAGCCTAGGTCCTCTTTGTTCAGACCTAGTCAGGTTCGCAAGAAACCACACACATTTTCACACTGCCTTCACACATAATACACTCCTTAGACAGCCTCAGAATTTACCCTGACAAACGACTGCTCAAATCTAAACACTAGAGAAATGTGGAAAAAGTTAACACAGGACTCTCAAACCCGAATGTCCATAATCATAACATTAGAGAACCCACAAAGGAGAAAGGGGAAGGGTTTCTGCTCAAGGGTTTACCAAGTGTTCTAAATCCAGAGGATTCAGAGTGGTGAGAAACCCAACAAACGCCTATTTGCATATTAAAGAACTACACATAGTCAGAATTTGCTTCCATTATGGCACCTTACACTTTGGGGGGGGGCGGTTTAGAATGGTGCAAGTTGACTGTGATATTAAAAAAAAAAATGGCAGCATTTCACAAGTGTATGGAGTCACTATGGATTCTAGGTTATCTCAAAAGGAAGTCTGATTTATGTGTGAATGGTTTGATCGGGATACTTGGAAGCTGGTCTCCTGACTTTGGATCCCATTTAATAGACTGTCAGTGTACTAAAAACAAATTTTTAACTCTTCATCTTTATATGTCACAGCTTTGTATGGGAAGACTCAAAAATGTAAAGCTGTGTGTGTATGAAGCTATTTCCATGAAGTCTCATAGATCGCAAGGAAGCCTGCTGCTGCTCCTGCTGTAGTTTCTTTCTGCAGGACTTGTAGGCATTAGAAATGCAGATGTTTCTATTTTTTTAAAAGGGGGGGAAATATAATTTCCTTTGTTAAGCCATGATCTTCAAGTGATATCAACTTTTGTCATAACCACGTTTTATAAGATGTCTCTCTTTTGAGAAAATTACATATTAATCCCTTGCAGAACTGTTTTTCATTGATTCTTCCAAGTGCTTAGTGGTTTTCTTTGGGTAATATTAAACATGAAAGCCCATGTTATTGCATTCAGCACAATCTATAAATACCCTTCTGACACTGTCTTTAAATGGTGCCTTACTGCCTTCGGAATCTAATGATATTGGCAGCTGTTAGACCACATCAGTTTGACTTTTTTACATCTCAGTGCTAAGACATACATTTCTCTTTTGGACTACAGCCCTCATGTTGGAATTAATTTCTGTTCCATCTAAAAGTCAATTCAGAAATCTGGAATAGTTTTTACAAACAGCACTGACTACCCACAAAAGAAAATTAAGCCCCATTAGTAAGATTAAATATACCAGCAGTCAACTTAAAAAGAACGAACGGGTGAATTAAGTAATATTGACCCAATGTAGCTTATGTTACCATTTCAACAGGTCAGCATAGAGAGCAGAGCTAGCGATATTTCCCATCTTTATATGTACTCCATCTTCTGTAGGCAGTGTGGTATACTGGCTGCACATACCACAGTTCAAACATTTATCTCATGAGTAGCCAGCTGCTGGCCACACTGGACAGTGCTGCTCAAGGGCCACAGTACTTGGGTCATTTTGTTCTTCAGTTTGTGACGTGCGACCTCCCTCATCCCTTTGATGTTCTCTCTATGCAGCTCCTCATCCTCAAAGAAACCACGTGCTACAAGTTCAGCTTCTTTAACACAACAGGCTCCTGCTCGCAAATCCAGTGTAGAAATACACAGGCTTTGTTGTGCATACTCCAGGTTATAAACAACATGAGGGCTCCCCTGTTCTAGCTCAGCCCAGTGTCCTCACTGAGGAACTCAGTAATCCCAGCTCCTGCAAGCTCCCACCTTCCCAGTCGGCTCAATGCTGTAATTCCCTGTGCTGATACAGACAGAACAGCAGAGAACTGGGAACCACAGAAACACCTTCCTCAAAACCATGGAAGGAATGTGATTCTCCTCCCTGATGTGTCTAAGTGTCAGGGGCAAGTGCCTTGTTTCAGTGACAAGCACAAGTAAGATTAGCTAGGAAAGCTGAAGGGCTGAATGCAAACCTAACTGACAAGTGGGGATGAACAGTAAGGCTAGGCCAGGAAAGGTCGTGTAGCTTTCATCTTGCTTGCATAGGCAGTTGTGCATGCAGCCTGCATGCCATTAGATTACCACACTGCAAGGATGCGCAAGTCCCATGGGCTCCACCAGGGTCTCTAGCCACCGTGCTGGTAGTGTAACTCTTCTCAACTTTGTCAGGCAGGTAAGTGAAGATTTCAGTGGCATGAGCCTTTAAGCTTTGAATTATGGCAGCCATTCCCAGCTGAGGTCCCACACATGGTAGAACAGACTCAAGCTTTCTGTGTACGACTCACATGACCAGCTAAGCTCCCCACCCCACACACGATGGGGCAGACCCAAGCCAATCCTATGCACTTTTACACTGTCCACACAATTGGAAAGCATGTGTATTGATTACCAGCTGATGTCCCCACATTCCAAGGGACCAGTGGAGAGTGGACCTGTATTAAGGATTGAGTGGATGCCTGATCCAGTCTGGAGCAGGGTGCCATCTACATCATGTGAACAAACTCCAAGGCAATGGACTATAATGTGAGTGAAGAAATAAAATCTTTATTGTTAAGCTTCTATGATTTGGGGTTGTCACAGATTGCCTTCCCAAACACAGTCAAAGAGGCACAATATCTACAGTGAGCAGTTAATCTTACACTCAGACAATGAAAATGATGCTGTGATCTGAGACTGAATGCAAAATCCAGATACCTTATGTAGTCTGGGAAGCGTGGTCTCCTTTGCTCAGGCGGAGATTCCTCCATCAACCTTCATGAGTGTTTTCAAGCTACTTTTCAAGTTACTTAGATGACAACCCCAGTAAGAAACACATTTCACATTACAGCTACTTCTTATCCTTTCATCTATGGCTGGAAGTTTCACAAAACAATATTTGCCTTTGCTACATGATACATTCTGACCTAGTTTATTCTACCTCATCGTTTCACAAGGCTGATGGTCACCCACTAATCTGATCTCACAATTCACTAATGGGTTGAGATTCAATCTGAAAACCCTACATTATTAGGCTCAAGGCTTTTCTGCTAGCTTTATAAGCCACTCCATACAGGTAAAAGACATTAAGCTGAACTAAGAAAACAGTATCTGCTTTTCAGGATTCAAAAGCGAATCTGACATTGGGTATAAGCAAGCACAGCTGGCAAGAATTCTGCTTGAACAATCTTGGGGAGCTCAAACAGGAGGAATTGAGGTAAGGATGAATTCAAAAAAGCGCTGACAGATCACACACTTTAAGGCAATTCTACACTTTGCACAATATCAAACAATCCAGCATGAGGGTGGTGCCAAATGGCTGCAGAAAGCAGAATCTTCATCCACACCCAATGACTATACTCATGTTAGCATCTGCCCAGAGTATGTTCACTATAGGCCTTCTGGTTCTAGGTGCTCAAGCCACATAAGCTCACTTGAAACAAGCAGACTTTATCCACAGATACGGCGAGAAGCCACCATCTAACAGCTTCCAAGGAGCCTGATACACTACTCAGGATTCTCAGCCAGACAACTCATCTGGCAGGATGCTCACAGGACAGCAACCCATGTCTACACCTCAGGCTCTACAGGTAAAAGATCATCTTCCACACACTCTGGGAACCTGTGGAGCCTCCCCCCAGCATGAGCTTCACAAATGGCAGGGCGGGGGCCCTGGACCTGCGCCTCCTCCTCGGGAGTCTTCTGGTACTCAGCCGGGTTCCAGCTGAAGTGGTAGGTTCTACAGCAGCCCTGGCACGTGTAGCACTTCCTGCTCTTGTGGCTCTTGTAATGCTCGGTGAGAAGGGAGATCCAGGCAAAGGCCTCCTTGCACTCACTGCAGGTATACGGCTTCCCTCTGCATGCTCCAGGCTCATCAACCACAGGCAGGCCTGGGGCAGATGGACCCGGGTCCTGACTAGACACGAACCCTGCACTACGGCCAGCTCCACTGGGCTTCTTCCTCATGCCATACTGTTGGTGGTTGCTCACACTAGAAACACACTCAGGGCCCTCCTCATCCCCTTCCTCTGGGTGAGGCCTCTTTGTGCCAGGGCCCTGCAGTGGGGTTTCCGGCCTTGCTGTGCCCCAGTCCTGGGCAGGTTTCCGGATGACTGACTGCCTCTGGGCACCAGTGACTGGGCTCAGCTCCCCATCCAGGGCATCAGAAACTTTCCAGGGCAGCTGCTCTTCCTCCTCCTGGGTGGTGCCTGATGAGGGGTCAACAGGAAGGTCCCCTCCGAGCCTTTGCATGTCCCCTTGGCTTCCCCATGGCCTCCCGTGGCCTGAAACAAGGTCAGAACGTAAGCTGTTCCAACTGCCACCACTCACACATGGAAAATGCTTCACAAACAGCAGAGCTAAGAAATGACTGGTATAAGCTATAGGACCCAAGCAAGGAGGAAGCGAGCTGCCAGTTGAGAAGTGCTTTGTGTGCATGGCCTCAGCTGACACTTTCGATCACTTCAAGGGCAATGGATATAGCCAGTAAGTGTGACACCACAGAATTCCTGGATCTCAGAAGACTGCCCATCTTGACCCCATCTGTTTTCCTTCCCTTGACAGTTACTAAAACATTAGCTGAGCTCATGGCTGCTTCTGCTGCTGCTAGGGTGACAGTGTGACAAGTTCTGGCTCATGGAATCACCAGCCTGCTCTCTCTCTCTCTCTCACACACACACACACCACTTCCTGTGGCAGAGATGTGATCCAGAGCAGCAACCTAGACTGGGAAATGGCACTGACAACATGGACCACAAAGACAGAGTTGTGCCTCAGTCTGTCACCCAGGAATCTTGCCCTTGGGTGGTCATTCCTAACTTCAGTGACTTGGCCATGTAACCCATGGGATACTGGCCTGATATATGCCTTCCTAATTAGAATGTTCTCTTTTAGAACCCAGCTGCCATACTCTGAAGAAGCCCAAGCTAGCCCTTAAGAGGCCATGTTAAGGACCTCTCAAGTAAACAGCCTTAGCCAAGCTTCCACTGAGAGCCAGTGCCAATTACCAGCTCTGGGACATTCTAACTATTGTCAATCTTCTAAATGATGCAGGTGTGTGTGTACTAAGCAGTCATAAAATGGGGCAGAACAGCCAACCCAGAGGATCCCAGGAACTTACACTGCTGTTTTAGGTAACACATTTTGGGGCGATTTGTTCAGCTGTCAAGAGATGATAACTGGACTCATCTCTAGTATCTGCTGGATGGGAGAATGATGTATGAAATAAAAGCTGAGGTCTCCATTGACACTGATGGAACCATGAGGAGCCCTGCCACACTTGGAAAGAAGGGTGTGCCACCCAACCTTGCCCCCACAACTCTACCCTTGATCATCACTCTCTAACTTGGCCTTACCTAACAGGCTGCCTCCTGGCAGTTCTCCTTCCAGTAAAGCAGGTTCTTCTGTCTCCAGCCCAGAGGTTGCATCTGGCTGGGAAAGCTGATACCCTGTGTGGGGTTAAAACACAAACAACACTCACAGGTGCTCAAACAGAAAGCAGCAGGTGGACCTCAGATCCTGTGGGCTGCCCCTGGCAAGGAGAGCAGACCTGCTCTCCATGATCAGCTGCTGCCCAGCAGGAATCCTTGGGAAGCTCTTAAGACCAGGAAGATAATCTCTTGGTGAAGCAGGCCCGTGGGACAGGTGGGAAGAGAAGGTGTCTTGGGGAACACAGTTAGATGTAAGAACAAAACTCAAACTATAAAAGGCTCAGGAGCCTATGCGGAGGTACGCCACAGATTTTTCTAGAAAGATCATCTGTGAGAAAAGACTCCATGAGGCCACAAGGAGCAGAGGCCCTTCCACGATGAGGACAGGAACACTATGCCCTGGGGCCAGAAGCCTGTCTGCATCTCGAGGGCTGTAAACTCAGGACCCAGGCAAGCATGAATGTACAGGCCAGAAGAGTGGGGACCTGATGAACCATCCATGCCCAAAGGCCTTTATTTGTATTTCCACCAGAAGCCAGTCTTACCCCACAGGAGTAGCTTCCTGTAGCTCTTCAGGTTCTCTTCTGATGGGTCAAGGTGGCCCCATTCTCCCATGTGCGGAGATTCCTCTGGAAATGCCTTTGGCTGCTGAAACAAGGTACCTCAGCCACATTACATACCCTCCCTGAAAGACCCGTGGCTCTGCAACCATGCTGGTGTGGGGCCCACAGGCTCCGCCCACACACTGCCTGGAGGCCTTTCATCCTGGAGTGACTGCTGGAGCAGGTTTCTCTGCCCCAGCCTAAAGATATTCACAGCAACACATCATTGGCTGTGGCAGAGTATTACTGACAGGGGAGGAGAGATGCCAGTAACCCAGGGCGGAACAGAACCCCTCCTCGAGGACAGGGCCCATCCGCCTTTGTTCACACGCTGCGCTGTGGTCTTCCACCCTGGAGTGACTGCTGGAACAAGCTTCTCTGCTCCTTTCCTCCACTTACCTTCAGCTCAGCTCTTGCAGCACTGGCCACTTCAGCCCTTTCTTCCCTGCTACTTCCCTGTTCCAGAAGCACAGGATGCACAGCAGGCCAGGCTGGGAAGGAGAAGGTAGAACTGGGTGCCCCAGTTCATCATTAGAGACCCACACCTGGTCTGCGCAGGTCCCAGGAAAACAAGACAAGCTCCAAACCTCGACTGGCCACACATCCAGCCTCAACTCACAGAGTGGCCAGGAAAAAACAGAAGAGGCAAGCTCAGCAGTGACCCCACAACAGCCCACTCCTGCCAAGGATGCAATGCCCAAGCTTAACAACATACAGCGCTGGCAATATAGACTGCATGCACCACAGCATTTCTGGAAAGTCACATGGAAGTTTCTGTTGTGTCTGAGTATAAAGATTCAAATGCCTTGTTTGCCCAGTAGTCCTGGGCAATGTCCCCTGATACATGAGAGAGCTCACCTACAGGCACACGCAGCCTTTTCAAAGGGGAAGACATTGAAGTGGAAGTAAAGTCCAGCTCAAGCATATGGGCCAAGCTTGGGCAGAGCTGAATCCTACAAGCCTGGCTCTGACCACAAATGCAGGGGCTGCCCCTAGGAGCCCCAAGTACATGGCAGTCCAGGAAGACTGGCTCATTTCGTCCCCAAGTGCTTGTGTGACATGCAGGACACTCAGGACACTTGATTTCACTTGCCAGGATATTCAGGGGGATGGGACAATCATTTTCTCCTTTATGTATTAATGCTTCTTGGCCATTTATGATCAACACATATGGCTGGCACAAATGTTTAATAGAATGTAGTATCTGTTACACTCACAAGAACCTATAGGAAGTCTTAACAGCATGTACTCAACATGTTGGGCTTCTGCATCTACAACATCAGCTCCCGTCCTGTACCCGTCACACCCACCCACCCACCCATACAGAGGCTGTTCACTCACGAGTCTCGGGAGATGCCAGGACCTCCACAGGTCCAGGGTCTCCGTTGGGGCTCGCTGGCCCACCTGGCAACAGCAGCCGTTCATACACTCCCTCGTTCAAGGGTGAAGACGCACGACCTGGGGAATACAACAGCATTCCTATGGACAACCAGAAGTGACCCCAGGAGGGTGAGATGTGCGCTAACAAGCACTATGTAAGCGTGGCCCCAGGGTTCTGACCCTGACCTTGGACCCCTGAGTCCCATCACCACCTATCCCTCACACCTCCAGCCAGTAGTGCATGCAGGATATGTATTCAATTTTGAAGAAGCTGCACCTTGCGTTACCCTGCCCTCCTCCATGTCTCCCATTTCCTCATATCAGAGGTAAGGGACAAGAGCTGTGTGCAGCAGTGCTGGCCCTGAGGCTGACAACTCTGGGGGCCGGGAGGCGGCAATAGCCTTGATCCCTGCTGAGGAGCTTCCTCAACAGCTCAGGACAGGCCATCCCTGTACCTCACAACTCAAGCCTCAGGGACTGCCCCTGAGCTCTAGCTGTGGATCCTGACCTTTCTGCACACAACCCCTGCTCCTCTTTGTCCCTGCTGCTCGGTGCAGCAGCCTTACCAGGCTCCTCCAGCACATCAGCAAGGCCCTCCACCAGGGAAGCTGCCTTCCTGCAGCTCTCAGGATACTGGGCCACCACCCAGGGCCGGACCCTGTCGGGCAAGATGCCTAGGAACTGCTCCAGCACCAGCAGCTCCAGGATCTGCTCTTTGGAGCAGGCCTCAGGGCGCAGCCACTGGCGGCACAGCTCATGCAGGTGGGCCAGGGTCTGGTGGGGCCCAGCTGCCTCCTGGTAGACAAATTCCCGGAAGCGCAGGCGGGAGAACTCCAGGTCAGCGGCAGTCCTCTCAGGGATGTTCACGGGCCCTTCCCGCCGAACTCTGGCTGCTGACCCCCCTATGGGCAGTTCAGGGCGGGACGGGGAGTTCCTCGGGGAGGCAAACGCCCTCTCCAAAGGCAGCATTTTTCTAGAACTGCACCAGAGACACGGTAGAGATGCCAGGGATCACAGGACACCTGGAGAATTTGGCCAGTATCAGTACCTGCAGAGAATGAACAACACAGAGAAGGTGACCAGTCAGTGGTACATGGCCAGGGCTTCTGAGCTCAACTGTGTACCCAAGACACTCAGATCTACTAAAGAAATCTTCCAAGAAATCTACTAGTTAGAAACACAACTGGATACTTGTGAACATAAAACTTATCATAAAAACATAGGAACAACTGATTTTGTTAGAATGGTATTGCCAAAAAAACACCTGTAATGAGTAGGGTGAAAAGCTACACAATAGTCTCAATTATAAGCCCAGACACAAAAATCTTACGTTAAACTCAGCCCAGTCACATGTGTTATTTACATGATGTAGGTAGCATTTGCACCAGTTTTAATACAAGATCTGTTTAAGCCCTACATTATGAGGGCATCAAAAGGACTAGTGTTTGATTGTTCTATTAAAACAGAAGCCCCGAAACAAAACATGGTTTCAGATAAAAATATAGGGAGTAAGTCACCCACTCTGGAAATCCACAGATGACTGCCACCTGTTTCTGAAGAAAACTGCAGACCTGGATGGCCCAGCCCCCGTGCCAAGTAGGAAAGCCATGTAAGAGGAGGCCACAGAGGAGGACAAGAGGAATTGGAGGAGACTGCTGTGGACAGGGGAGTTTGGTTCCACCAAGTTTTCCCCTACCCCAGCTGAATTCCAACTCAGAGCTGCCTACAGGCCTCTCCCCAACCACACACACACACACCCTTCTCAAGCCATCTTTTACCTGCCTACTGCCTGCTTCCCCAACTGAACATGAGCCCCAGAAGATCACGGGCTCCTCAAAGGAAACCTCAGGGCCTGGGAAGCATCGGCTTGGTGTCCACTGCCTGCATAAACATCTGGACAGTGTTTACCCCACAGCAGGACCCCAGGGCTAGGCAGAGTTGGTGCCGGTCCAGCCCCGATTCCCAGGTTCCTCCTCCAGGAACCTCCCTCATCACCTGAAGGGTCCTGACTGCTGGTATTTAGCTCCCCCCTTACCCACCCATCAGCACGGACCCCAACTCTCCCACAAGACGCTGAGTCACTCAGGATGCTACCTCACTGTGCCAGATGGTACCCCCAGCCTCACCCTCACCACAGAAGGGGCGGGTCCTTTAAAAGAATGCAGACATGAGCAAATGCTCACACACACCCCCTCCAAATCCCAGCTGCCTTCTGTGCTGCCAATGGGCACTCAGGGTCTACTCAGGACGACCCATGGAGCCAGAGGAGCATCCAGAACAAGTGGCCTTGGCTTCCTAAGGAAATCACAGACCAAGGGGTCATCAATGCCACAGTGACCCAGTGTCATAGCTCCAAAGCAGGGCAAGAAAATTCAACAAGACCTGACTCCTGGTGGGAAGTCGGGAGGTGACCGCGGGGAAGGACGCTGTGACAGCTGCGCCTGTGAGCAGCGGGGGCGGCCCAGTGACAGGGACGAGGGAGGTCAGGGCAAGGGGAGACTTGACTAGGAGTACAAGTGAGCACGGGCAAAGCGTAGGCCGCAAGCCTTGCTGGGAGCTTCACTGGGTAGCTGGAAACTTGGAAAGAATAAACACGGACATTCATTCCCAATGGATCCTGCTCCCTTGGCTGCCCAGCCACCGATGCCACCAAAGGCTGCCACTCCCCATCCCACTCCAGACATCCCAGCTCAGGGAAGGCCCGAGACCCTGTTCTTAGCCCCTCTCCCCGGGACAAGCTCCTAACTACAGCCGACCGCGCCGCAAGAGACTACCGGGGAAAGGACGCCGCGAGTGCCCCGCCAGGGTCCCTCTGCTCCCCCTCGGAAGGCTGCCCCAGAGTCTGCAGCCCCTCCAGAAGCCCCACGCTTCCCCATCAGACCCTCAGACCCTCCCCCAGAACACGGGAGGCCCCCAAAGCGGCGCCTCGCGGCCTTCCGCTGCCCGCGCCCACGCCCAGAGGCCCCTCACCCGCCCGCGGCGCCCAAGGCCCTGCCCTCCCGGGCCCTGTCCTCCCAGGCCCTGTCCTCCGGGGCCCACTCCTCCCGAGCCCTGCCCTCCCGGGCCCACTCCTCCCGGGCGCTGTCCTCCCGGGCCCACTCCTCCCGGGCCCACTCCTCCAGGGCCCACTCCTCCAGGGCCCACTCCTCCAGGGCCCACTCCTCCCGGGCGCTGTCCTCCAGGGCCCACTCCTCCCGGGCCCACTCCTCCCGGGCCCACTCCTCCAGGGCCCACTCCTCCAGGGCCCACTCCTCCCGGGCCCACTCCTCCAGGGCCCACTCCTCCCGGGCGCTGTCCTCCAGGGCCCACTCCTCCCGGGCCCACTCCTCCCGGGCCCACTCCTCCAGGGCCCACTCCTCCAGGGCACACTCCTCCCGGGCCCACTCCTCCCGGGCCCACTCCTCCCGGGCCCACTCCTCCAGGGCCCACTCCTCCAGGGCCCACTCCTCCCGGGCCCACTCCTCCAGGGCCCACTCCTCCTGGGCCCACTCCTCCAGGGCCTGGCCTCCCGGGCCCACTCCTCCAGGGCCCACTCCTCCCGGGCGCTGTCCTCCTGGGCCCACTCCTCCAGGGCCCACTCCTCCCGGGCCCACTCCTCCCGGGCCCACTCCTCCAGGGCCTGGCCTCCCGGGCCCACTCCTCCCGGCCCACTCTCCAGGACGCGCACCGCGAGGGGTGCCCAGACCCCCGCTTCCCCGGAGGCGCCTTCGTCGCTCCCGCCCGGGGTCGCTTCCCGCCCTCGCCCCCGCGTTGCCGGCGCAGTGCACGGGGCTCTGACCGTTACCAACAGCTCAGGAAGGGACCTCGGCCCCCGACACACCGAGACACGGCGACGTCAGGCGACTGCCAGCTGTCCGAGCCCTGGGTGGTGCGATGGCGGCCGGCAGGACGGCGCGTGCGCGAAGCGCTCCCCCACCCCACACTACGATTCCCAGAATGCTGCTCTCCGCCCCGCCCTCCTTCGGGCTGCGTCACTTTCGATGCCATGGCAACGAGGGAACCGCGTGGTGACGTTAGCAACAGCCGGAGCGGGACCAGCCGGTGCAGGCGACAGAAATGGGTCGGTTCAGCACTGAGGAGACCTTGGGATCCAGAGAGGCCGACCGGCCGAAAGAGGCCAGCTTCAAGGAAGACTGTCCACGCCAAGGGCTCCACGACTCGCGAACACGCGTGGCAGGCGGCTGGGGCGAGGTGGGTGCAGCCGCCGCCGCTATCCGGAGATGGCTCTAGGGCTTAGCAGGGTGTTTGCTTTGGTCACTTTGAGCCGGGCAATTTTAAAAGCCAGTGAACCTCAGAGTCCTCGGCCCCCGAAGGCACTCCAATTCCCATTGGTCTCTTTCCCAGTTGGAATTTAGTCCTTGGTGCCCGTACTGATAGTCCTTCCTGTAGATCCAGGGGTCTCCTCCTGTCCACCTGCTCCATTCTGGGGTACCCCCTCCCCCCCGCTCTGTGCATATGACCTTCTGTTAAGAGGTTGTCAGGATCGCTCTTGACTCCCCCTATAGGTCTTTGTAGTTTTACTATTGCCTAATGCTGATTCAAGTCTGTTGTCTTTGAGTTACCTGTTTTGTTGCTTATGGGTTATACTTCACGTCATCCTCACATACTCTTAAGGAGATGGAAGACTTGTCTGCCCTCCCCGCCCCCCGCCATTTCCAAGTAGCATAGGGTCTTAAAATTATAATATGTTTTACAATTCTTATCTACCACATGGGATGGAAGAAGCCCAAATCCTTCCTCACAGGATCCAAGGTGTTAGGAACAACAGCCAGGAGCCCTGAGCGGTCCGTAGAAACAAGAACAGTAAACTTCCTTCAGGACTAGGGAGAGGAGCTTTCTCTGGTCCTTGCTTAGTTCCAACTTTGGATCCCCATCTCTCTGGCAAAGACAATCACGGTCACTCCGGAGCACCCCTCCAAACAAACAAAAAAATCAGAATAGACTGAGAACAATAAGGAAAGCTTAAAACCAGACAAGAAATGGTCAGCATTGATTCACACATACCTTACTAGGTAGGACACAGAGATTAGATACTCCTCACCAGAGAATGCAAGATTTCTCTGCACACCCCTCCTAAAATAATTCTACACCTCAACTGTTGACATATGCCTTGCTAGAGTTATAAGCCAGTTTAGACTATCCTAAAATCTGCCAGGTTCAGTAGAATTATGCTTCAATGCTATGGACTGCTAAATACTAAAATAAGGATAGACACGAGACAGCTGAGTAGTACCCTATAGCCATTTTAAGGCGGGTAGAAGCTGGTTGTATACAAACTAAAATTGAAATGTCAATGAAGTAGTCACAGGATGTGGTTAACATATTGGTTACTCAATACCATGACAATTAATTCCATAATGTTGTAAGTTGTCATTGATGTTAAGTTGTGGCTTTAAATTGATCAGGATGATATTCTGCCAGATCTACATTCAGACCAGAAATGATCTACCCAAGAAACCGTTGAATGTATCTGGACAATTAGATGCTGAACTCTTTGCTTGGCATATGCTTGCAACGAAAGAATCTCAACTGAATTTGATTTATAATACTGCAACAAAGTGGAAGAATCCACCAAGGGGGAAGGGTTTGGAGAGGGGTTAGGGGAATCCCAGAGACTATGAAATTGTGTCACATAATACAGTATAATTAATAATAAAGCCAGTGAAGTTACTTTCATTGGATTTTTTGTTTGTTTTTTGTAAATTGACTTACAGCCAAAGTCACTGTTGGGAACTGTGTAAATTTTAAATGAGGTCGCACTGACACCGTGAGGTCAAGAACTGGTTTCTCACCCGTTAGATCTTTCCTGCAGTGTGTAGGTGCCCAGTCTCTTGCCCAAACCCCTCACCAATCACAGACCCTCACAGCAGGCCACAGGAAGTCCTTCAGCCGATGGCCTAGTCATTAACCCTAATGAATCCTTCCCACCACTGTAGTAGTGGGAACCAATACCTCATTCCTTCTTCTTCTTTTTTTTTTAAGATTTATTTTTATTCGAAAGTCAGACATACAGAGAGGAGAGACAGAGAGGAAGATCTTCCATCCAATGATTCACTACCCAAGTGACCACAACAGCCGGTGCTGTGCCAATCCGAAGCCAGGAGCCAGGAACTTCTTCCAGGTCTGCCACATGGCTGCAGGGTCATCCTTGTCTGCTTTCCCAGGCCACAAGCAGGGAGCTGGATGAGGAGTGGAGCCGCTGGGATTAGAACCAATGCCCATATGGAATCCCAGTGTGTTTAAGGCGAGGACTTTAGCCGCTAGCCTACCACGCTGGGCCCTACCTCATTCCTTCTTATTGCTGAGTGGTATTCCGTGGTATAGAGTAGCATACCCCTTGAAGCAAGTTGGCCTTGTTGGCTCAGAGATGGGGTTCCTGCCACTGATGTGGGATGCCCAGATAGAATTCCTGGGTCCCAGCTTCAGATACAGCCAGAGGCCACTGAGGCTATTTGGAGAGTGAATTCTTAGATGGGAGATCTTTCTGTTTCATGTAAGAGTAAAAAGAAATTTTTTAAAAGAAAAAAGTGCTAACTTAAAACTTAAAAAAAAGAAGAAGAAAAGCTTTTTCATGGCCAAAAGGGAAAGATTTACCTTTGGTAAATGTAAAGGCCTTTGGGGAAATGGCTAGAATACCACTTGGGATTCCTGTACTTCACATCAGAGTACTGTATTCAAGTCCCAGCTCTACTCCTGACTCCAGCGTCCTGCTAATGTGTGCCCTAGCGGTCAGTGGTTATGGTCCAAGGACTTGGTCACTGCTGCCCACCTGGAGAACCTAGACTAAGTTCCTGGATCCTGGTTTTGCCTTGTGCAGCCCCACTATTAAACTTAGAAGCAAACCAGCAGGTGGGAGACTTCCTGCCTTTTACTCTACCAAATAAAAAAAAAATTAATTTTAGAGCCATTGCTGGCATCACATATGGGTGCTGATTTGTGTCCTGGCTGCTGCACTTCCCTTCCAGCTCCCTGTTTAAGCAATGGAGGATGGCTCAGGTCCTTGGGACCATACTTCCCCACGGGAGCCACAGAAGTAACTGGCTCTCAGCTTCAGATCAGCTCAGCTCTGGCTATTGTGACATTTTAGGACTGAACCAACAGATGGAAGACTCTTTCCTTCTCAATCTGTAAAATCTGCCTTTCAAATAGAGTCAATCTTTCAAAAATAATTTTTAAACAATATTGATAAAATATCTATAAACATGACTGGCAATGGGTAAGGCACCTTAATACACAAAAAGCTCTTAACAAATCAATAAAGATACACCCTAAAGGGAACAGAGCAATGGTTCACTTGGTTATTTCTCTACCTCCAAGCTCAGGGATCCCATAAGGGCACTGGTTTGTGTCCCAGCTGCTCCACTTCCCATCCAGCTCCCTGCTTGTGGCCTGGGAAAGCAGCGGAGAATGGCTCAAAGCCTTGAGAGCCTGCACGCGCATGAGAGCCAGAGGAAACTCCTGACTCAGGATCACCTCAGCTCTGGCCATTGCAGCCACCTGGGGAGTAAACCAGCAAATGAAAGATCTTTCTATATCTCCTTCTGTGAATCTGTTTTTCCAACTAACAACAACAAAACAAACAAAAAAATCTTCCTCCTCTTCTTCTCAGAGCCCTCTATGCTGTCATTCAGGTTACTTTCCCTACTATGCTTTACATCTTGCATCCTGTTTGGTAAGAATCCCTCTTCTGGTGGATGGCACATGCTATTGCTCACTCACTGCCCCTCAGCCCTTTAATGAAACCAATGTGCTCATATCTGAGGTGTGTATCACATACCTCCTGACTGAACAAAAATGTCCATGGTGTTAACCACAAGTGAGATAATGCGTGCTGTTTAGGCTCATCATCTTTCCACACATAACAATTCTTTTTTGATTCCAGAGCGCAAGGATAACTTCAGAATCAGAACACAGGAAAGATCCACACTGCTGGTACGGTACGGCTGACTGTCCTGAACACATCCATCTTTTAGTTCAGTAAATATGCCAAACAGCTGCTGTGGACACAGTAGAAAACTGAACAAGGTGTGGACAGGCCAGCAGAGGAGCTACGTGGCACCCACAAGAGGTATGGCAGTGAAGGAGATAACTACGGAGAAGTCAGTGACTGCAGAGGACAGAAGATGAGAACATCCCTGGCATTTCCGAGGAACTGGGGGAGGGGAAGCCTTGTGACCAGAACTGGGGGAAGAGAGAAGAAAACTGGGCCTGGGAAGTCACTAAAATATGGTCATGCCCCACCCCAAAAGTTACAAAGACAACTGTGGTAGCCCTGCATTATAGCTGAAGATGCTTCTGCCTCTCCTGCCCGATGACTTCAGGCTTGGTGCTAACTTGTTTACTACTGGGAGGAGAGTGGAAGTGTGGGTGCTATTTCTGAAAAGAGGCCTTAGGAATTCTGATTCCATCTCTGCCCTGAGGTAGAGCAAGGTGCCTGGGCACTGGAAACAAAGCATCATGGCATTCAGTGGCAGCCACACCACAGGAATATGCATAAAACATGCCATGATTTCCACTGGCACTGGTACCACAGCATAACTCAGCTATGCAGACTGGCACAACAAATTACTATGATTACCTCCTTTCAGAGGTTAAAATTCCTTTCATAGGCTCTGTACACCTATCAGAAGAAATAAAGTAGCACATCCTGTGCTTAGGAGGATGTGGAACAGCAGGCATTCTCATCTGCTGCTGGTGGGAAAAGCAGAGGTGAGTAGGCACTTCAGAAAGGAACTTTGTAGCTTCTTAAATATAATGTGTTACAGAAGAGAAATGAAAATTTGTGACAATATTGAACCTTCAGAGTCCTATGTTCCAGGAGAAATTCATACATCCTGACCCAGCAATGGACCACCTGTACTCACATATTCCAAGACCTGGGAGAAATAAAAATGTCAGGAGAGGGACAGATGCTGTGGTACAGTGCGTTAAGCGACTCCTAGGATGCTGGTATGCCTTGTGGAGGCTGCTCTGAGTCCCAGCTGTTCCATTTACAATCCAGCTCCCTGCTAACATCCAAGTGTTTAGACCCTGTCACTCATGGAGTGGACCTAGATGAAGCTCCAGGTCCCAGAACTCAGTCTGGCTGAGCACTGGCCATTGTGGCATTTAGAGCATATTAGCAAATATAAGATATCTCTTATTTCTCTTTCTCTTCCCATCAACCTTATTAGTAGCTCTTTCACATAAGAAAAAAGAAGGAAGGAAGGAAAGGAGGAAAAAGAAAAAGCCATCTGGCCTGAAATCTTACCTAGAACCTCCAGGAGAGAATTCATGTCCAGGCCCATTCAAGTTGTCAAATCCACTGTGGTTATAGAACTATCACTCCCAGTGGAGAGCATGAAAACCAGGATTGGGGCAGCAGTGGCTATACAAAACAGCACCCAACAGCATGTGTGTGGGCTGGATAGTGGGGCTGGTTGGGTTGAACTAGGCTTCAAGGCCCATTGACATATATGAGACCTGAATGGGATGTGGGACAGATTGGACAAGTTTGCTCTACATACTGGCAAACACGGGAACAACAACAGTGGGAGGGACTGGTAAGGGTTATTGTGGGTCTCTCCAACTAGGCTGCAGCTCCCACGGGTTTGTGTGAGGGCCGGGTGTGTGCTGGGCAGAATCAGGCTGGACTGCAACACCCATTGGTTCCAGTGGAAGACAAGGCTAGAAACAGAACCAACCCAGCAAATGCAACCACCAGCTGATTGGGGCAATGGACTATGTCGGGCCCTGTACTTGCAAGGACACACAAGAATCACCTCAGACAAAGTTTCTTTGGGGATCTCCCCAATCGAACTGCCGGACTCAGAACCCCAACCATGCAGAGAAGTGCAGGTTCCATGGTCTGCCATGGAGTGCAAATGCCAGAGCCGAGACTCCGAGGAGGCTCAGACGGAGCAGTGGACAGCACAATTAGGTGCACATGGAGGATATGGCAGTCCATAGGAACCTGCAGAGGACACCTGGCACCACAACAGAGGACAGAGACAGAAGAAATTATTCAACTACCCCAGCCATATGTTGGCAGTGAAAATCTGAGCAAACAGAGACTCTAAGATGGGCTGTGTCAATCAGTGGATTCTGCAGCAATTTCATCGTGCTTGGAAGGGTGAGACTGGCAGCAATTCATAATTGTTGAACTATCAAAACCACGAGAGCAGGACCCTCAGAGCATGCCCCACATTGGGGACCTGGGATGGGTGGGAGGCTGGGGGATGGCGCTTCTTTCTTTATCTCCCCATTTACCCCAGATACAGAAAAAAAAAAAAAAGGGAGAATGTGGAAAGAATAGTCTTACCCACTTTCCTGTAGCCCTTGAACTTTTGTGCCCTAATTAACCATGTAAAGAACTTTTGTGCCCTAATTAACCATGTAAAGATTGTTAAGAAAAAAAAAAAAAGTTGTTGTCCATCCTCCTCAGTGGCAGCATGGTGAACTTGTGAAAATTCATGTAAGTCACCCACTGTAAGACTGGAGCGGAGGGCCCGGCGCGGTGGCACAGTGGTTAAGGTCCTCGCCTTGCACGCCCAGGATCCCATATGGGCGCCGGTTCTAATCCTGGCAGCTCCACTTCCCATCCAGCCCCCTGCTTGTGGCCCGGGAAGGCAGTCGAGGACGGCCCAAGCCTTTGGGACCCTGCACCCGCGTGGGAGACCCGGAAGAGGCTCCTGGCTTTGGATCGGCATAGCATAGCATCGGCCGTTGCGCTCACTTGGGGAGTGAATCATTGGACGGAAGATCTTCCTCTCTGTTTCTCCTCTCTGTATATCCGCCTTTCCAATAAAAATAAAATAAATCTTTAAAAAAAAAAAAAAGAATTTATCTAAAAAAAAAAAAGACTGGAGGGGAGAGAAGGCAGGGATGAAAACAGAACCAACCCAGCAATTGCAACCACCAGCTGACCAGGGTGATGGACTGTGCCGGACCCTGTACTTGCTGGTACATACAAGAATCTGGCCTGGGAACACCTCAGACGAAGTTTCTTTGGCGATCTCCCCAATTGAAATGCCAGACTCAGAACCCTAACCATGAAAGGACAGAAGATGGAACAAGTTAATCAACCACCTCAGCTATAGGTTGGCCACAAAATACCGGGCAAATAGAGACGCTATGATGGACAATGTCAATCAGTGGATTTTTCAACGACCTCATCGTGTTTGGAGGGGCGAGATTGGCAGCGATTCATAACTGGTGAACTATTGAAACCTCTTGAGTGAATATCTCAGAGCATGCCCCACATGCAGGACTTGGGGTGGGTGGGTGGGAAACTGGCTGGGGCTTCTCCTTCAATATCCCCTTTTACCTCAGATACATGAAGGAAACAATACGGAAATAATAGTCTTACCCACTTTCCTGTAACCCTTAACCCTTTTTACCCAAATTAACTATGTAAAGATTGTCAAAAAAAAAAAAAAAAAAAGACTGGAGGGGAGAACACGGGAGGGGAGGGAACCTGGGGAGAGGGAAGGGAAACCCCAGTGCCTATTAAACTGTAACATTAAAAAAAAAAAAAACAACCCTACATATGGTATGTTAGCAAAGCCAAGAAGAGCATGTGCAAACTCAGAAATGCTGAGTGAAATACGTTCCCAAAAACACTGTCTTGACATCGAGCTCAAAACTTAACACCAAAAAACGATGCCTAAGAATGTCTTACCTACTCTGAAAATACGATCACACAGCTCATAGTCACAAAAAAAAAGAACAATTAGACACACCAGGCAATCTGCAAACAGACATATGAAGGGGTTCTGTAGCAACTCTGCCCTGTTGACAGACTGCATCAGGATTACTCAAATGTCTTCATACCTCTTCCTTAGACGAGATCCAACGTTCTAGCAAGGACAAGTGGAGACTTTAAACCAAGGAAGAGGGTGGGGTCACTGCGAGAAACGTTGGGGATAAGGGCATATTTCTGCTACTCTGAATCAAAGGATTAGAAGACAGGCTACACTGAAAACAGAGACAAGGCCACCCTGATTCCTTGTCTGGGCATTGTTCAATGGTTGCTTCTGTCAAGGGAGAACCCAGAAGAGAAGCCCAAATGACCCTTGTGTCTAATCACTCTGATGTTGCCTCCCCAGCAGCTAGAGAACAGGTGAGAAGGGAAAATCAGAACTCCAAGAGGATCTACTCACAGGGTTTTGAGGTTGTGTCAGCCAGCTGGACTGGCGCTCTCAGCTGGCTCAAGAAAGGATCTGCTGGCTTAGTCCAGCATTCTCTACAGCCTCCTATTCTCCACTCTCCAAGACTCACAGTCTCCTCCACAAGGATATGCCCCTTGTAATCCACGTCCCCAAGAAGGAAATGATTCATTCTCATGTCCCAGAATGGAGAATACTCTGTCTGATTCTAGGGAAATTATGGCAGAACACCCCCTGTCCCAATCCTTACTTATGGCTTTTCATTACACCTGACCAGCCACTCCTGGCAAAGGGTACAAAGAAATCCCAAATTCATCTCCTTTTGGCTTTATCTTTTTATTCATTATGAAATTATTTATACCAACAATGTAGGATTTGTAAAAGGGGAAAAAAAATCACCATACTTCCCGGCCTCCAAAGAAAACCACTTATTTCTCCATTTTCCATCTGCAACAATGTGCACTTATCTTTACATGGTTACAATCTCAGTAAACCTTGCACTAAGCATTTGCAACATGGAAATAAAACCTTCCTAATTACAGAAACAAAATAGAACAATGGAGGGAGAGGGTGATAATGTAAACTTATTTTTTTTTTTCAAGAACTAAAACATCACATTTCTTGGAAGTTTGTTTCCATTTCTGGACAAGCTTGTTCATTCACCAGCCACTTCCGTGTTCAGTTCCCCCTCCTGACATAAACTACTCACGTTCTGGCAGGAGCATAACACAGAAATACCTTCAAAGAGAAAAACCTAAAAAAATTGTGATTTATGTGGGGGTGAAACACTGTGTGGGACCTCTCACCTCATAGCTTTGCTAATATAAGGAAAATAAAACAGGTAAAGCTCCTGCTCAAAGCTTCTCTTCATGATTCTAGCCACAAGTTTAGACTGTAGTAAGGGTTTACTCCTGTAAAACAATGATCCCTCACACCAATTAGTTTTATTCACCAGGCTCTTTCCAGTCTAAGTATTCTTACGCAGAAGTGGACACACATCTTCAGGGAAGAGCCTTCCTCACACCCATGTTTAATTCCAGTATATGTGCCCTGGTGTCTGAAACCAGGCCGAATCACTGCTGAAAAACTTTTTACATCTTCGTACCTTTCAATATTCTCTACTTGAGTTCCCCAATGAAAATTTATCAGTTAAAGAATGTTTCATATTCATCAATCCCACAGGTTAATTTAAAATATTCTGTCACCAAGGAGAAAAGTCCTATCTGAAGACAACTCTTTCATGAAGGTTTTTGAGCATGTTCTAAGAAATAGGAGAAAACTATGGCCCCAAATCATTATGTTTCCACAGGCTGTCCCTTAGTGTGCGTTCTCAGATGTTGGACAAGGGACGAGCTCCTTCTAAATGTCTTCCCACACTCAGGACACTGGCTGAGACCCTCCCTGCTATGGAGTCGCTGATGTACAGCCAGGTGAGAGTTCTGCTTAAAGGATTTCCCACATTCTGGACAATGGTATGGAGTCTCTTTAGTGTGAATTCTCTGGTGCTTGGTCAGACAGGAGCTGTCCCGGAAAGCTTTCCCACACTGATTACATTCATAAGGTTTCTCACCAGTATGAGTCCTCTGGTGCCTGATAAGGCCAGCAATGTTCCTGAAAAGTTTCTGACAGTGGTTACAGCCATAGGGCTTCTCACCAGTATGAATCCTCTGGTGCCTGACGAGGTATGCACTCTCAATGAATGTTTTCCCACACTCTTTACACTCATAGGGTTTGTCTCCAGAATGGATTTTTCGATGCACAAGGAGGTGAGAGCTGCGATTGAAGGATTTTCCACACTGCACACATTCAAATGGTTTCTCTCCGGTGTGGGTTCTCTCATGCTGGGTAAGGTATGAAACATCTCGGAAAGCCTTTCCACATTTACTGCACTCATAAGGCTTCTCTCCAGTGTGGATTCTGAGATGCACAGTGAGGTGGGAGATGTCAGTGAAGGGTTTCCCACACTCATTACATCTGTATGGCTTTTCCCCTGTATGAGTTCTTTGATGCAAAATCAGGGATGAATTTCGGTTGAAGGTTTTTCCACATTCTAGACATTCATATGGTTTTTCACCTGTGTGAATCCTCTGGTGTTGTGTCAGAGCCGACCCATCACTGAATGCTTTTCCACACTTACTGCATTTGTACGGCTTCTCTCCTGTATGGATCCTTTGATGCACAATCAGGTTGTAGTTCTTGGAGAAGGATTTTCCGCACTCACTACAAGTATAAGGCTTTTCTCCAGTGTGAGTTCGGTGATGCAACACAAGAGAAGAATTCCGTTTGAAGCATTTACCGCACTCAGTACATTTATATGGCTTCTCTCCAGGATAACTCCTCCTCCTTTCACTAAGAGATGAGCTCAGGGTAAAGATGTCCTCAAAGTCATTACCACCATAGAATTTTTTGGTTCGTTTCATTATTTTCTGCTCACCAAGAAGGGTAGAATGATTGAAAGATTTAACACTTTTGGGGTATTTATAGGATTTCTCTCTCATTTGATTTCTTCCAAGCTGAATAACCTCCAAGGAATGGTTGGAAGATTTTCCACAAGCATCACTGTTGCCAACTCTTTTAGCTACATAACTCTGAGGACAACTGTGGATGCTTAAGTCACAATCCAGACCTTGAGCACCTGAATCACATATATGCAAACCATTTGTTAGGAGAATTCTCTCAGACATTGGGAGGTCTGAGTTTGCATTCATATTCTCCCCAAAACCAGAATATTCACAACCTATTTTCTCAGCCCTTGGCTTCCCCTGAATCAAAGATGATTGCCTCAAATGACCCTCCTGGCTCTCATAATCTTGGTTGTCACATACACTGGAGAAACAGGAACTCTCTGTCACAAATCCTTCCATTTCTACATCACGAGATGTTTCTTCCAGAGGAATATTCTGAGTCAACATTTTCAGTTTCATAGCCTAGGTTGAAACAAATAAAGAAAAGGATAAAAAGGATGAAGCTATACTGGAAAAAGGAATGGAAAACAATGACGAGCTACTCATGTAGGAATTTATTTTTTCCTTGCTTTCTTACCAAAACTCACATCTCTACAAAAGGTAGGGGATAAAGTGAGAGACATAGGACAAAGCTCAGAACAAATTCAGAAAGAACCACATAGTATTTCATCCTACCCAACAGTAGGCAAGAGGAATGGCACTGCATACAAATGTGCCAAATGGATGTGAGAGACTCCAGGCCAGGCAGCAGGACTCACATAACTGAAATACCATCTCAGCCACTATGCTGTCCCACAAACCATGATCCATACAAACCACCAGGACCACTGCCAAAAGCTGCAGTTCTTGCTCCGGCTCTGAGGTCAACTTTCTACCTCCACAGGCAGAACATAATAGAGTCCTGGTGATCTGAAGATTCTGTCAATGACTGTCCTACAGGGTTTTGAAAACAAACCTGACTCACAGGAAGGAAGCTGCTTCTAGCATATTCATTATCAGAAGTTTTTCTCTCAACATCTTTTTTAAGTAAAAGGAAATCAGACCCACACTGGAGTACCTGGTTTGAATCCCAACACCTGTTTCTGATGCCAAATTCCTACTTAACAAATGCAGACCTTGGCTCAAGTAACTGAGTTCTTGCCACCCTCATGACAAGCAGGAGATGCCAGTGCCTAGGTGTCCCTCTGACCTCTCAAATAAATATACAATTTAAACATAAAGCTAAAGATGACATTCCAGTGGATCATGAAGTACAGGCTGCAGCAGGCTAACAACCATGGTAGTCTTCAAGGTGATCTACAAATTCTCTTCAGGCTGCTACTGAGGAGTTAGTTACACATACTCATGGAATGAATCACAAAAACACACTCTGCAATATGGATGAAGCACAGTGTCCCTAGAATACCTGGTGTCTTCACTGCATGACTATCATCTTCCACCAACAAAATCACATACTTCTCCTAAAATCATTTGGACAAACCATAAATTCAATGTGAGTGAAACCCCAAAACAATATACACCTTATTCCACTACTAGAAAAAAAAAAAACTCAGGAAGAGGTTCCAGTTTCAATACTTAACAAATAAAGTAGTATAGCTTGGAGTCCAGTGCAATGGTTCAATTGGCTGATCCACCGCCACTGCAAGCATCAGGATCCCATATTGGTGCCAGTTGGAGTCCCAGCTGCTCCACTTTTCATCCAGCTCCCTGTGGTGGCCTGGGAAAGCAGTGAAGAATGGCCCAAGTCTTTGGGACCCTAAACCCTCATGGAAAACCCTGAGAAAGTTCCTGGCTCCTGGCTTCAGGCCAGCTTAGCTCTAGTCATTGTGGCCACTGGGGCAGTGAACCAACAGATGGAAGGTTTTTTTATTATTCTCCTTCTGTCTGTAAAACTATTTCCAATAAAAATAAATGTTAATAAAAAATTAGTTTCAGGCCAGGAAAGATGGCTCAGTGGCCAAATCCTCGTCTTGCATGCACCAAGACTCAAGATGGGTGCCAGTTTATGTCCTGGCTATCCCACTTTTCATTCAGCTCCCTGCTAGTGGTCTGGGAAAGCAGCGCAGGATGGCCCAAAGTCTTGGGACCCTCAACCCATGTGGGAAACCAGTAGAAGCTCCTGGCTTCAGATCAGCTCAGTACTGGCCGTTGCGCTCACTTGAGGAGTAAACCAGCGGATGGAAGATCTTTGTCTCTCCTCTCTGTGCATCTGTCTTCCAATAAAAATAAATCAATCTTAAAAAGAAAAACGATTATTTGAATGACAGAATAAGTGCATTTAGCCTACTGGTTGTTAACTGTACAGGGTGCATCTCCCAGCTGTGGCTCCTGATTCCAGCTTCTTCCTCAAGTACATTCTCCTAGACAGTGATGACATGTGGGGAGCGGCGTGCTGAAGCCACTTCCAAGAATAAGAAAGGCCATTGCAGGATGGCGACTGGCTCAGGGTCAGGAAGCAGGGTTGCTCTCACTAGCAGATGAACAGGAAGTCACAGGGATAGGCTGATGCCCTCGCTGTGATTATTCATTGCTACTGGCCTATCAGGTAGCGCCAAGTGGACCCACAGGGAGAAGTTATTGGTGGAAAGCGGTATAAAAGCAGCCACTAAAAGCTCTAAGAAGAAGGATGGGGAGAAGATCGACAGATGGAACAAGAATGGGGTAGAAAAGCTAAGATCTTCAGGGAGAAAAGCTAAGGCACATAGGGAGGAAAAAGCAGAGAGGGGTGCAAAAGCAGTTAAGACCTACAGAGAGAAAAGTATGGGGAAAAGAATGGGGAAAAGCAGCACAGAGGGGTACAAAAGCAATATAGACCTACAAGGAGAGGAACAGCAAGAAAAGTAGCAGAGAGAGGGCTAGACAAGCAGGGAGAAAAGCTCAGACTAACGGGGAAAAGGCAGCGGAGAGAAGGGTATAAACGCAGCCGCTTTCGGCAATAAGGGGTCCGGTTGCAGTTCTGGCTTTTCCCAGACCCTCAAGAGTGTGCCTCGGAGGTAGTGTCGCTGCGGGTTGGCGACAATGATGCCTCAAATTTAACTGGGCGCCTGCCACTGCGAGGAAGATCTGGACAACGTTTCAAGTTCCTGGCTTTGCACACTGCCCAGCCCCAGCTGTTGCAGGAACCAGGGAAATGGGCCAGTAGGCAGGAACTCTCTTTGATTCCCAAGTTATTCATTCATTTGGAAAGGCAAATTTTACACAGAGACAGCCTTCCATCTACTGGTTCACAACCCAAATGGCCACAACAGTCAGAGCTGAGCCAATGAGCCGATCTGTGGCCCTGGGAAGCTGCAGAGGATGGCTGAAAGCCTTGGGACTCTGCACGTGCATGGGACACTGAGAAGCTCCTGGCTTCACAAAGGCTCACTCTGGCCATTCTGATCATTTGCAGTCAAGCAGCAGAAGAAACATCTTTGTCTCTCTCTCTCCTTCTCTCTGTAGATCTGCCTTTCCAATAAAAATAAATGACTCTCAAAAAAAAAAAAAAAACTAACACATCTTAAACTAGCCAAATACAGACCCTGGACAAGAATTCTTTATCAATAATAAATTACTTGGGTGTGATAATAGCATTTGTAATTTTGTTCCAGAATCTTTTTTAAAGATTTATATTTTTTCACAACTTATTTTTTATTGGAAAGTCAGACACAGAGGAGAGAGAAAGCTATTTTGTCCAATGATTCACTCCACAAGTGGCACAATGGCCAGAACTAAGCCAATCCAAAGCCAGGAGCCCAGAACCTCTTAGGGGTCTCCCACGCGGGTGCAGGGTCCCAAGGCTTTGGGCCGTCCTCAATTGCTTCTCCAGGCCACAAGCAGGGAGCCATATGGGAAGTGGAGCCTCTGAAACTGGAACCAGCGCCCATATGGGATCCTGGCACATGCAAGGTGAGGACTTTAGCTGCTAGGTTACCACACCAGGCCCAGGATTAAATCGTTTTTATCGCAAAGTTAAGATTTACAGAGGGAAGGAAAGAGAGAAAGATCTTCCAAATGCTGGTTCACTCTTCAAGTAGCCACAACAGCTAGGGCTGAGCCAATCCAAAGCTGGAGCTTCTTCTGGGTCTCCCATGCAGGGTCCCAGGTTTTTGGGTCATCCTCTTCTGCTTTCCCAAGCCACAAGGGAGCTGGAAAAGAAGCGGGACACAAACTAGTGCACATATGGGATCCTGGTGCATGCAAGGCAAGGACTTTAGCTACTAGGCTATCATGGCGGGCCCTATATTTTTTTTAAAGATTTATTTATTTATTTTTATTTGAAACGTATAGTTACAGAGAGAAGCAGAGACAACGAGAGACCTTCCATTCATTGATGCACTACCCAAATAGCTGCAATGCCCAAAGCTGGGCCAGGCCAAGGCTAGCAGCTGGGAGCTCCTTCCAGTCTCCCATGTGGGTGCAGAGACCCAAGCACTTGCAGCATCCTCCACTGCTTTCCCAGGCCACAAGCAAGTAGCTGGACCGAAGTGGAACAGCTGGTACTTAATCAGCAAACAAATGGAATGTGGAAGATGCAGGCAGAGGCTTAATATGAATGCCACAACCGCCCCAAGAATGTTCTGGGAAATCAAGCCAGAAGCACTCCAGGATGAAGTGTGATGTATACAATATACTCTTAGTAATTCAATTAACAAAAAGTGTATATAAATATATGCCCAGATCATACCTCTATGGCCACACTCACTATGGACATGTGGTGTCTAAAACAGGAAAAGATAGTACCTGTGCAGTGGAGAGAGGAATCAGAGTAAGCTTAATTTGGCAAAGTGTTAGTAAATTGAGACTCTAAACTTCACAAGTACTCAGTAAACCACTTCTGGGGTCTGGCGCGATACCTTGGAGCTAAAGTCCTTGCCTTGAACGCGCTGGGATCCCTTATGGGCACTGGTTCTAATCCTGCCAGCTCCGCTTCCCATCCAGCTCCCTGCTTGTGACCTGGGAAAGCAGTCGAGGATGGCCCAGACCACTGGGACCCTGCACCCACATGGGAGACCCAGAAGAAAGTTCCTGGATCCTGGTTTTAGACTGGCGCAGCACCGGCAGTTGCAGTCACTTGGGGAGTGAATCATCGGATGGAAGATCTTCCTCTCTGTCTCTCCTCCTCTCTGTATATCTGGCTTTCCAATAAAAATAAATAAATCTTAAAAAAAAAACACTTCTGGAACTTTTCTAAACTTAAGGTTGGGCAGAGGGCCTGGTGAGTTAGCCTAGTGGCTAAAGGCCTCACCTTGCATGTGCATGAATCCCATATGGCCACTGGTTTGTATCCCAGCTGTTCCACTTCCCTTCCTGCTCCAGATTTGTGGCCTGGGAAAGCTGTAGAGGATGTCCCAACACTTTGGGACCCTGCACCCGTGTGAGTGACCTAGAAGAAGCTCCTAGCTCGTGGCTTCAGTCCGGCACAGCTTCAGCCAATGTGGCCATTTGGGGAGTGAATCAGCAGATGTAAGATCTTCCTGCCTCTCAGTCTCTGTTAATCTGACTTTCCAATAAAAATAAACAAATATTTAAAAATAAAAAAAAAGTTGA